GGGACGGGGGGCGGAGGGGCTGGACGGAGGAGATCGTGAGAAGAAGGATGGGAGAACCAGCCGCCGGAAGCAGGGCTGGATGGGGGCAGCGGGGCTAGCCAGGGGAGATTGGGAGGAGAAGCGGAGGGGGAGGGGAAATCGGCCGGCGGGAAACAGGACTTATCCGGGCACACGGGTGAGTCCGGCCTTAGGGATTCCATTTTGCCACCCCGCTCCCATACCGTCCCTCGAGTAGTTGTGAACTGCCTGGCTGGTAGACACACTCACACAGCATGAGCACATCTACCAGCCAGGCAATTCACAGCTATGGACTGATACACCTAATAATAATAAAACTTACCTAATTAGAAAATATCAGACATTTTATATGTCCAGTATTTTCTCAATTTGTTTCCCGGACAGAACCCTCAAATACCGGACTGTCCGGTACAAAACTAAACACCTGGCAACTCTACCCCTCCTTGCACTCTCCCTCCTACCCAGATACCCTACCCTCAGTGTGCTCCTGCTCCCGCCTCCTGGAGTACCCATGAGGCGCTGGGTCCCCCAAGCACTGGCTGAGGCTGGGCAGAGGATGCAGCCGGGTGAAACACTGAAAATGTATTCATTTTTAATTCTTTTTTTATGTGTGTTTATATTTTTGGGCTGAAAAGAACAGTACTGAAAAAAAAACAGGTTCCAACTAAAGTAAAAAGTTTTGGAAACCCTGGTCTAGCCAGCTTTCTATCCATCTTGCAGTCCATTTATCCAATCCATATTCCCTTAACTTGCTGGCAAGAATATTGTGGGTGACCATATCAAAAGCTTTGCTAAAGCTGGCACTGGGGGCTTTGGGAGGACTAGAAACAACTTATTGAATATTCATCATTTGCTTAATGAATATTCAAATATGCAAATGAATATTACTGGGCCTCCAAAAATGGATTTACTAGTCCCTGTGTCAAAAAGTTCGGGAACCCCTGGCTTACTCAACTATGCAGTCTCTTGTGCATGGTACAGGTCTGTAAGGTATTGTGCAAAATAATAGTGATTTGTACTCCATGTAAAACAAATGCTCAGTCCTATCAAAACATGTGTCCTACAGCTGTTGTTGTGTTTTGTAGCTTCAGAGGGGTAGCCCAGTTAGTCTGTAATTAGAAAAACTTAAAAACCAACAAATTGTCTAGCAGCACCTTAAAGACTAACAAAACATGCAGATGATATCATGAGTTTTTGTGGGCACAACCCACTTATTCAGATGAACGGAGCATTAATTATTCTTGGATCTGGACTTTTAATGCTCCGTTCATCTGAAGAAGTGGGTTGTGCCCTTGAAAGCTCATGTTACCATCTACATGTTTTGTTAGTCTTTAAAGTGCTGCTAGAGTATTCGTTGTTTTATTATGTTTTGTATTTGTGATTCAATATTATATCTAATCCTAGCTCCTCAGCCTACATCTGTGGTCACCAACCTATCAATCACGATCGACTGGTCGATCGCGAGGCCTCGACCAGTCGATCACGAGGCGTTCGAGCAACCCTGCCCCCCACCCCCGAGAAGTCCCACTACCTACCTCTAGTGTAGTGCCGGCTTCCCGTGAGGTGGACGGAAGTCCTCTCTGAAGCCCACGTCACTTCCTGGGGTTCCGGAAATGCGCGGGCTGCTCCCCCTCCCACAGCTCTGTTGCGTGCTGGGGGAGGGGGCGTTGGCCCTAGATGAGGAGTGCCGAGGCTTCCCTGCGCCACCAGCGCCGGAGGGGTGAGTTGGGCGCAGGGGTTTCCCTGCGCCGCGGGAGCGGGAGTCGGCCCCGGGGTTTGGTCCACTGGGGGAGGGAAGGGAGTTGGCCGGGCCGGGCTGCACCGTGGGAGGGGGGTTTGACCCCGGGGTAGGTGCCCATGGGGATTGGCTGCGCTGCGCCACAGGAGGGGGATTTGGCCCCGGGGCAGGTGCCCGCGGGGGTTGGCTGCGCTGCGGGAAGGGAGGGGCCGGGCCGCGCCATGGAAGGGAGGTTTGGCCCCGCTGTGGGAGGTGTGGGGGTTGCCCCCGAGGCAGGGTCCCGTGGGGGTTTGGCCCCGCCGCGGGAGGTGGTTAGCCCCGGGGCAGGCACGCTCCAGGTTTCCCTGCACTGCGTGGGGCCCGGAGGAGGCATGTGCTGGCTTCCCGCGTGGGAGGGAGGGAGGGAGAGAGAATCCTGGGAGGAGGCTGCCACTGGCACCCTGTCCCCGCTCCCCAGACTCCACTCCCCTGACCCCAGCTACAGAACTCTGTCCCCATTCCCGTCCCCACTCCCCAAACTCTGTCCCCACTGGCACCCTGTCCCCTGCTGCAGAAACCTGTCCTCTGCCCTTCCAGCACCCTGTTCCCTCTCTCCTGCCCCCAGCTGCAGAACTCTGTCCCCACAAAATGTATAATTATAAATGCTTCATTTTAGATTTAAATAGCATGAATAAAAAACAGACCATTTATTTCATAACTATAAACACCTGATTTTAATTTTATATATTGCATAATTTAAAAATAAAGTGTTTATCAGAGTGTGTAAGTAAGGGCTGGGGATAGCAAGTGATGGACAGGAGGAGAATAGAGAAGGCGGGGCTTCAAGAAAGTGCCGTGGCTTCAAGGAAGGGGCGGGGCAGTAGATCTTCGCCTGTTCTGAGATTTGAAAAGTGATCTTCGGTGTAAAAAGGTTGGAGACCACGGGCCTACATATAACTAAATTATTGATGTTTTCAGAAAACTAATTTATGTCTGGGAAACACATTAGGCCAACATTTTCAAAAGTAGATCTCATTGTGTGTTGCCTCTGCTTGGTGCCTCAATGTTTTGGGGCCCACTTTGGGCCATTTTCAGAAATGCTGAGACCCACAGCTCCATCTCTAGTCAGTCAAATCTGTGAGTTCTCAGTACTTTTTAAAAACGAGGCTCCAGATATCTCAGGTAGAGGGACCCAAAATCACAAGCTATTCTTGGAAATGCCATACTCTCAAGTCGTCACTTATTTTTTTGTGTTAGGCTGTTTTGTCAAGGAAATGCAGCCAGTTGATATAGACCATACTCAGATATACGTGTGTAATTCCTATTAACTTAAGACAGTCTGATCGTTAGTTCCTTGCCTGGGAAAGATTTCAAATTATTCATAAAAACACATTTGACCTTTCTCATTCTCCTTAATTTTGCTGTTCTGAACTTCTGTGTTGGCAGGTTATTCACATTCTGTTGCAGTTAACGTACATTTAAAAAACGTAGCTAATAAAAATGGTTTACTGCAACTTTATAGCCTTGAAATTTAACCACAATGAATACACTGATCTGCAGTTGTAAAATATACCATTAGATGACTAGTGTGTGATCTGCAGCAGTTGCATCTGACAGAAAAGTAGAAAATGCAGTTACTGATCTCTCAAAACTTCTCCCCAGGTCCTGTGTTCTCTATAATGATATAGGCCTGTATGATGCAGCAGATGCTGTGTGGCATGGATCTTTTGGTATTTATATATGTGCCCAGGAAATTTTAATTATAAAGTTTGCTGACCAAGATATACTAGCATGAAATTAGATTACAACACATTGGTGCACCCTACAGAGTCATCTGCTGGATGTAGCAATACATCAGAAACCAAATGTTTCAGACTGGAGAATGGAGAAACGTAGCACTGAAAAAGCATCTGCAGGTTTAACAGAATGACTCCAGTTCATTTTCAATGATAATTTATCCTGGCAGGTCTTTTCTGTCTTAAAACCTCAGGCTGGTCTTGGCCAAGTTTCATATTGCTCTCTGGCTGATACAATGTACCTTTACTTTTGAGTTTTGAATTGCCTTTTAAAGGTATGTCTCAGCATTTTGACTCTGTGCCCCACCATAATAATTTTTTAGCATGCACTATTTTTTTCCCTTTAATAACAGATCAACTTTCACTAGAAGATAATTTATTATGCTTCATTTCTAATTGTGAAGGCACCACAACCAGGCGATTACCTAGTACCTAAGTCTGACCACAGATGTGTGCAGGAATCTTTGAACAGCCCTTTGCAGTGGGGGCTCTTCAGAAATTGCCAGGTGCCTTAACAACTAATTAAGGATTCAAAATTGTCATTAGCATGCAAGGGAATACTGACGCTATTAATATTTATATTAAATAGGTAACGCTCACATGTTCATAAGCATCACCTTGCCTAAGTGCTAAGTGTTATGGTATCAAAACTGCTTTCTATCTGAAAGACTTTCAAAGAAGCTTATACCATCAATAGAATGATCCAGAGTTGTAAAATTCTGTCCTGAAACATAATCTGATTTTTGAATGCCTCTGAAAAGTGTTTGGATCCAAGATTTCA